CCCCCCCCCCCCCCCCCCGCAGAGAGTGGCTTATAGCCTGTTACTTCGCATCCTGTATGTGGGAGGAGGAGGTGCAAAAATTGGCACCTTGATTTCAGTATAAATAGAGCTTGTGTTTGATGCACCCGGTGGCTGGAATTACTTTATAATGGCTTCTTAGCTTGCTTATGGCGTATCTACCTCTTAGAAGCTCTTGGGTGCCTGGTTATTTGCTTCCCGCCCAGCTTGCAGGGGGGACGAGAGGTAGGCAAGGCGGAGGAGAGAAGCGAATGGACGAGGGCCCGTCCAAGCCGTGCACAAAGGGAGGCGGCTCCTCTTCCAGCCGAACTTCCCAGGCACCCAGCTTGGCAGCAGCAGATTCTACAGCTGTCATGTTTCAACAGTGTCTGTCCTTGCCGACCGTCTCCCTGCCCGCCTTCAGAAGAAAAAAAATCCTGGTCTTGTTTTCATGCACCTTCCCTAGCAGGATCCTGTAGGTGAAACTGATGGTGCCGCACCCTGAGGTGCTCTAGCGCCATGCATGGAAGTTGTGATTGCCTGAAAGACAAGAGCAGTTCTCCTCTTCTCTCCCTCCCTCCATCCCTCCCCAGTTTTTAAGGAAAATGGCATTAGGAAGATGGGTGGGAATGTGCATCGTGTGTTCAGTGCATGAGGCAGGCGATGCGCTGCCAGGCTGCAGCGCTCATCCAAATCTGCCCATGTTCACAGTAATGTGATTGTGACAGTACCTCGTGAGGACCCCTGCCAAATCTGGGTGCAAGTTAGCTGCATAGCTGTGAAGTTCGGCACCGCTGCTATTTTCTGCTTCCTGCTGTCCTGCAAGCTCTCTAGCAAAGGGGCCGAGGAGGTGGGTCCAAAGCGGAGCTGGCGGCAAGACGGCAAAGGTTGCTCTGCTGATGGTGATGCCTTGGGTGGGATGCCGGATGGGAGTCTTTGTCCCGGGGGTTTTCCCTGGGCAGCCTGGTCTTTTCTGGGCCCCAGCAGCGCCACGGCAAGGCTGCATCACTTTTTAAGTCCAAGCTGTTGAAAGAAGCACCAGCTCGGCCAGTCCCTTCCTGTGCTCCTGAGGACTGGGTAGCGGTTCCCTCCAGGCAGGGCCTGGCCTGGCCTGGCCTTGCCTCAGCTTGCGTGGGCCAGGCAAGCCGGGCGCAGGCTGCCTTCACACAGCAAACCCTATGGCTGTGTTGGCATCACAGGCGGTGCCCAAGTCAGTAAGCCATATTATGCAGAAATGGGATGACCCAGTTCAGCTAACTCATTGCGAGATTCTCACAACTTGCAGAAGCACAAGCTCTCGCCTGGCCTAGCCTGGGGTCCAGTTTTTAGCCCTCTGTCAGGGGAGAGAGCTGTGTGGCCAGCCAGGGGCGGGAAGATGCTCTTCGAGCAGCCGTGACAGGTTCCTTTGGGCTCTGCTCAGGCACTACCGGGTCCTCGGTCTTGGGCATTGGCACTTAGGAAGTCTGGTTCTGGCTGGCGCCTCCCAAGGGCCCGTTCTGGGTCCGTGCGGAAGGGGCTTTTTGGCAGAGTGCTTCTCGAAGGCCCGGGCCCTTTGTCGCCAGGAGAGCGCTCAGCCCAGGGGCTCCGGCTTGGGGCTGGAGGGAGGCTCTGCCAGGCCCACTCGGAAGGGCGTGCACGTTGAGGCCCCCTGGAAGAGCAGGGGGGCGTGAGAGCTGGGAGGGGTTGCTCCTTTCAGATGGGCCCAGGGGGGCATCGTGGAGGTGGGCTGAATCTGCTGCTCTGCTGGGCTCCTGGTCTGCCACGGTTGCTGAGGGCCGGCAGGTAGGGGCAGCCCATGCAGGGCAGAGGATGCTTCTCCAGCCTCGCCACCTTGTAGCTGCCAGGGGCCCCAATTCCTGGCAGGGGGTGAGTCCTCCCGGCTCGAATCTCGATGGGTGCCCAAAGGAGGCCTGGGCTGTTCGTGTCCCGGCTCAGCTCTGCTCTTTTTGCAGCTGGATCCCGAGGCCAGCGACTCCCTGAAGGAGCTGCAGGTGAAGCTGAACAACGTGCTGGATGAGCTCAGCGCCACGTTCGGGAACAGGTGGGTTCCCCTTCTGTCTGGCTGGGCACCGAGCAGGCGGAGGGAAAAGTGGCGCCCTAGACCGAAGAATTTGTCACGGCTTGCGCTTTCTGCTGTTTTTTCATCTTTGCACATGAAAACAGTTGAAAGTGGGGTGATCTGCATGTTGCTTTTGTAGCACAAAGCGAAACATGATTTCTTAACTCTGAAATCTGTCTGGAGCTCCTAGCGTTGGATTGCGCTCGCTGGCTGAACGATCAGCCGCAGTTTCTCTCTCTAATGTTCAGAGAGCGGAACGGGTTCAGGCGGCCGTGGCTTTCTTGCGGCTAGACTGCAGGCGATGGACGGGTGGACGAGAAGGGCAGCTCCCTCTGCTCTCCTTTCCCTCTTCTGGGGCGCCGGGAGAGCAAAAGCTCGGGCAAATCTGAAGGGAGATTCTCCCCCCACAAGACTTTGATTGGAGCGGGATTAAAGGACATTGGCGCATCCTAGCGCTGACTGGAGTCTAGCAGTGAGCGCCACGTTCTGCTTTGGCCTCTGGCTCAGGAAGGTGGAGGGGCTGAGAGATTCCCCTCGGGCGCCCTCCTCCTGTGCCCCTCTCCCTCTCCCTCCCCCTGGGAGCAGCAGCCCACAAGGAGCCTCTCGTTGCAAGAGGTGCTGCGGGTGTTTGCAGGCCACCTTCCTGATGTGAGGCTTCCTCCGTCGGCTTGAGACCAGAGAGAAATGCTTGGGCTTCCTGGCCTTGCGGAAGCTGGCTGGCGGGAGCTGGGCCAGGGGTGATCTTGCCATCTTGTCTCCAGTTTCCAGGCACGCATTGAGGAGTGCGTGAAGCAGATGTCGGAGGTCCTGTGCCAGGTGAAAGGGGCTGGAAATGCCCCCCCCAACGCCGTGGCCCAAGACGCAGATAATGTCCTGAGGCCCCTGATGGACTTCCTGGATGGAAAGTAAGGACGTGGGCGCATCTTTCCCCGGGACCCCTCAGAGAGATTCCTCAGCAAGGGCGCAAGGGCCACTTGGCTAGGAGGTGAGGGCCCTCAGGAAGCAGGTCCTCCATGTGGCTCTTGTAGGTCCGCCTGCTCCTTCTCCCACCATGGCAGCCTCCGTCCCAGCCAAGACCGAGGGGCAGAAGGACGGAGAACAGCCCGTGTGGTTGCAGAGCTTCTCTGAGCAGAAGGAAAGAAGTTGGTTGTGTGGCTGGTGGGCAGCTTGGGAGCCAGTTCAACCTGTCTCCTCTTGGGACCAGGCCAGCAGATGGAAGAGGGATGGCCCCTCTGCCTGGGCTGCGGGAGACGCCGCCCTCCACGCAGCACAGGTGGTGGAAGACGTCTGCGCCCCCCTTGGATCCCCAGGATGGGCTCCTGGCCGAGCAGAAGGCTGGACTTGGTGGCTTCAAGGGCCCCTTCCCAACCCAAGATTTTAAGGGGCAAGGGGAGTGATTCTCGCAGTCCTTTACTCCACAGTCATACTGGTCTGCTCCATAGAGTGGACACACTGGTTTGTGTTGCTCACGTTTGTTGTGGGCAGATTTAAACCTCAGAATGCCTGGTACACTCGCTGTCCCCTGAAGAAGCTTAGCAGCTGGGAGGCAGAGCAGCCTCTAGTGCAGTTCTGCTGGCCCCCTGCTCTTTCCCCCTCCGGGGAGACCTGGGGTGTCTGTTGGCCTGTGACTCCTCACGTGAACCTGCTGTGAAGGGCAAAAGCACCAAGTAGACCAGTTCCCACCAGCCTTCTCAGCTCATTTGTAGTGCCCTAAGCTCTGGGGTTTTCTTTCCATGGCACGAAAGAATCACAGAACTCAAAGGGCCAGGGAGGCCATGGAGTCCAGCCCCTGCTTAGTGCTGAAGCCCCGGCTGAGGCTTTTCAGACCTGGAGCTCCTCCAGTGACTTATGGCCTGTTGGCTCTTCTGCTGAATGGCTCCATGCTCGTTGAAAAGATCCCCAGCGGCAGCCCCAAAGACGCAGGAGTCTGGCACAGGACAGCTGTCGCAGACGAGCTCCCTGAGAGAGTCCCTGGCTGCCATCGTGCCCAGGCAGCATGAGAGGGTGGGACTAACGGGGTGGTGGATGATAGCTCGACGCCATCATCGTTGCTCAGCTCAGCAGAGGCTGATGGAGAAAGACCATAGTCTGGTGCCCCGGGAAGTCAGGCTCCCTCGGAACCAATCTCCTGTTTTCCTTGGATTTTTTTAATATCCTCGTCTGTACTTATTTGGAAGATTTGTATAAAATGGGGAAGGGATAGGCTTGCGGGGGTGGTCTGGTAGCATTTGCCTTGGTAAGCTGAGTCCAAGGCATGATGGGGCTGCAAAGACACAATGTGAAGCCTCATAAACATAGGAACCATTTTCAGGGCCCCTTTATTCTGCCGTGGCCCAAATACGTTGCCCAGTTTGGTTCCAGAGAAGGGCGCTAGGGGCCTGAGAAGGGAAGTCCTGCGAAGAGAGAGCGAGGAGCCTTGGGAGGGACAGGACAGCGCTCTTCAGACGTGTGGAAGGCGGACTTGGATGGGACGTGAGACGCAGCTTCCCGTGGAGAGCAGGGATCGGGGGGGGGGCTCCCTTTCGCTGAGGGGCTTAGGCAGAGATGGACAGCAGCAGCCAGAGGTGGTCCGTTTGGATTCCTGCCCTGAGCAGCAGGCTGGTCTGGATGGCCTCCAAGGCCCCTTGACGCTGAAGACAGGGCTCCTTTCTGGAGGAGCATGGCTGCCTCAGCGATGACCGCCCACTCAGGGGGTCTTGCCCCTTCTCTTCTCCTCCAGCCTCTCCCTTTGTTCTCCCTGCTCCTGGGATTCCCTGCAAGGCCTTTGGCAGCCGGGACCCATGCGGGGTGAGGTGTCCCTGCTGGAGCCCCACTGAGGCGCTTCGTTATCAGGAGTAAGAGCAGGCGCCAGACCACGGAGCGTGCCCCGTGGGGGGCCAGAGCCACCTTCCCAGAACCAGTGGCCCCACAAGAACCCTAAGCCATGCAGTGGGAGCTCCCTCATCCAGCCAAATGGCCTTGCTATGAGTTGCCCCCCGACCGTCGGATGTAACTTGAGGACAACAAGGACAGCCACGGATAGTCACGGAGCTTGATGGAGCTGGGAGACAGGGAAGATTCGAGGCCGGCTCGGAACAGAAGGCTGGGCTGGCCGCCTCCGAGGGGGGGGGCTGCTGCATCGCCCACCCAGCAGCGCTCTACTGCCCCTGTGGCCTTCTGCTCATCCCCCCCTCCGGTCTCTCTCTACAGCTTGACACTCTTTGCAAACGTCTGTGAGAAGACGGTGCTGAAGCGGGTGCTGAAGGATCTTTGGAGGGTTGTGATGAACACCCTGGAGAAGCTGATTGTGCTGCCCCCCTCCACGGATCACACGGTAACTCCTCGCCCCCCCCCCGCCCTCCCTCCTCCTCCTCCTCCTGGTCCTGGACCAGGCTGCTCACGCGGGCCCGACCGGGAAGGATGCGTGGCTGGGTGGCAGGGCCCAGAGGCAAGGGGGAGAGGGGCAGGACTGACCCCCAGCTTCCAGCCTTTCTAGAGCCTCGGGGCCGAGCACGTGCCCTGCCTGGCGTGGACCTTGAGATGCTAGCAACGCCATCTCTGGCAACACCCACTGAGACTGAAATGGAAGTCAGAAGGGCAGTTTTGCAGGAGGATCCAGCAACAGGCATTCTGCAAAGTCCCTTTTTTCAATCCAAGCTTCAAAAACATCGTGGTGAACATTCCTTAAAAACATTAGTTATTAACAAATAATGCACGTGAAGTTTGCAGCACCATAGCTATAGAATGTGTATAAAAATTTTGAAGAAAAAAACTTCACCTATTATATAGTAAACTATATGGTGAAAAAGACCAAGGGGGAAAACCCTACACTAAGCTAAGGAAAAAGAAAAGGGGGCAAAAAAATATTGTAAAACAAAATCTTTAAAAACCTAAACAACCATAGAGAACTATCCCCTTCCCCCCAGTTATATACAATGGGGAAAAAAAGTTTTTTTAAAAAAAGGCTAAAGACGGTACAAACTCTATTGCTTTCTTCAGTTTCTTCTTTCCATCTCCATTTTTAACCCACGAGCGAAGGCAGCCCTGTACACATTGCACGGTCCGGTCCTGCCAGTCCTTCAGGAGAGGATGGCAGGACGAGGGGGGTGAAAGGCTAGCAGGGAGGGAGGGGGCAAAGGGGCGTGACTGCTCCCAGTTTGGCAGCTGTGGGGTCAAATGGAGGTTCCTGGGTGTTTGGCAGCTCCAGGGGTGAGTTAGAGGGCCGGGTCTCTCCCCCTCCCTCTCTCTCTCTCAGCCTGGGGAAGAGGAGGGCTGGGTTGCAGCTCCTCTGCAGCAAAAGCCTCGGGGGCTCTGTTTTAGGCTCCCTCCCCCCAACCACGCGACGTCCGGAAATCTCTTGGCTGCAGCAGGGAGCTTCTTGGGAGAAAGGCCCAGGCGGGGTGGGGGGCCTTTTCCCCTCCTCCCTCCGCTGCCTTTGGGGCTTCCAGGCTGGAGGCTGATTTCAGAGCCATCAAGAGCTCCAGGACCCCAATGGGGGGAGCTTTTTGCCCCAATGGAAGGAGCCACAGGGCCTTTTGGATGGGTCCTGTTCCGGTGACTGACGGGGGATGCAGAAAGAAATCCGTGGCCCTTTTGCGTCCCGCGAGTGTTTCGCTGGGCAGGCCTGGAGCTGGCTCCTCGCCTGGGCCAAGCACAGTGCAGGAGACGAGCCTTTTGCCAGAAGCCCGGCCCCGTCTTGAGGCAGCCCGGTTCCCCTTTCCGTGGAGAGGCCTCTTCTCCATCCGGCAGCCGTAGAAGACCAGGCAAGGGGGAGGGTCTTTGGCAACTGACATCTGGCTGAGGATTGCTCGAATCCAGGGTGGACGCCGTGTTTCACTCACCATCGAGTTTTTAACCTTTGTTCTTCTGTCTCCCGCCTTCCTCTTGATCGTCCTCCTCAGGGGACCCAGCTGATTTTCAGTGCTGCTAAAGAACTGGGCCATTTATCCAAGCTGAAGGTATGGGTGGGGCATGGAGCAGCTCATGCACGCATGTCCCCAGCCCCCTCCCCGTGTCTTCAGCATTGCACAAGAGCATGTAGGCATCATGTCGTGTGTCTCGCAGTGGTCCGTCTCATGTTTTCAAATTCCCATCCAGACACGAGCTGGCTGTGGGAGCCTCGGGGTTGATGTTGACCTTTTGTGACTGAGTCCTGCCTGAGTCCTCCTCCAGCATCATCCCAGCGCCAAGGGAGGCCCTTGGTCTGAAACTCCCCCTGCTCCAAGCCTCTTGGAAGGATTTTGGCCTTCAGCAGGAAGAAGGGGGGTCTGGTGAAACCTAGATCTGGGAAACGGGGTCAGGGTGAGGGGTCTTGGTAGGTCAAAGGTGTCCTCTTGTGAAATAGAAGATCAGGGCCATGTCCTCTTGGTCTCACGGGGCGGCAGCTGCACCTGAGGGGGGCTCAGAACGAGTCCTGAGGAGCTGCTCCCACATGCGTCCCACCCCTACCCCACCCCGACTGCTGCATCTTCTAGCACCAGCACCTCCAAGCAGCCTGGCGTGCAGCTTGACGCAGCCATCTAAACAGAAGGATTCAGAGCATGATAGCCCTGGGTGGCTGACCCCTCTCCCGGAGGCAGCGTCGCAGCCTTGGCTGTCCTCAGCTGGGCTCTTCGGGTGGGACTGGGTGGGGGAGTCCCTCTTGGGGTACCAGTGGCTCCCGTTGGAAGAAGCACCTTCAAGTCTCCGGGAGGCCTTGCCTCGGCCCAGGGGATCCACAATAAAAACGAGCACCGAAGCAGTGGCGCTCTTTCGGGCGTGGTGGTTTGGCCAGTGGGCCACCAGATCTCAGGAGTGACTGCCTGACTGACGTGCTTGGCAAGAGGGAGGGAGGGAGGGAGAAGCAAAAAGCCAGCTGGGAAGAGGTTAGGGGCAGGCCAAGTGGGGAGAGGGCAGGGAGACATCACTTGGCTGGAGAAGCCCCCCAGTTTGCCACCAGTGCCTGCCTTGGTTGGACAGAGCCTGAGATTTTCGGCCCTTCATCAGATAAGGGCTTTCAAGGAAAATTAGGAAAAAGCGGATGAATGCCTTCCAGGTCTCTCCAGCGTCCATCCGTAATGGCGTTCCAGCTCAGAAGGACAAGCTTGACAGCCAGCTTGGCTCCTGCAGGGCTCGGCTTTAAGGCAGAAGCTTCAGCCACGAGGGGCGGAATGTGCTTCCTCAGTTTCCTCCAGAGAGGCTCTTCCCAGAGGCGTCTCTCTTGCTGTGCATGGGTGTCTGGAGGAAGACATCTCCCAGCCGCTGCTTGTCCTCATGTGTCCTTCCACAAGCTAATTGTAGCAGACTTCCGCCGCCCCGCGTCTCTTTCCCAATCCTGCTTGCTGCATTACCTCCGCCCAGAGGAGACCCTCCCTCGTGTGGGCTGCCCGCCTCCCCATCCCTGGTCATCCTGCTGATTTCCGTTCCAGGATCACATGGTCCGAGAGGAAACACGGAGCCTCACCCCCAAGCAGTGTGCCGTGCTGGAGCTGGCTCTAGACACAATTAAAGTGAGTATTTTCACTCTCTCAGGTGCACAGTTTCAAAAACTGTAGGGTGAGAAGTCCAGCAACAGGCACAAAGCAGAGTAAGGGCAGGAGGGTGGACGGCTGGGTGCAGCAGCCTTCAGGTTAGGACGTGGCCGCAGGCAGGCCTAAATCAGGCAAGAAGCTCTCGGTCATCCCATTTAACACACTGTATTGGAATCTAAGTTGGAACTGAAGTAATCTTTCATAATAATAGTGGTGGTGGTGGGGGTGGTGGTGGTGGTGGTGGTGGGGGTGATGATGATGATGGTGTTGATTATGATGATGAAGAAGAAGAAGAAGAAGAAGAAG